CAGGCTTGGCAATATGTATAGTTGTTTTGTTGTCATGTCTAGTAAATATTAAACCTTGAAAAATCTGCTGCGATTATGTAGGAGCAGACTTTGAAATTGAATGTCGATTTAAATTGGTTTCTTTGGCATTTATTAGTAATTCAATTTTATTCTGTGTAATTATGAGATTATAAATAATTCAAATAAGAGAGGAAATATAGTCTTTATATATCCCCAAATCATTAAAACTACATTTTGATATGTCAACCTGTCTTAATAAGAAAAAACTCCATATCTTATTGCATAAATTCAAATCAATAAAGTATTTTAAAAACACTCCCTTTTTTGCAGGTAGATTCCCACTATGTACTCCACTTTCCTTTGTAAAATCTTTTTTTTTTTTGACATTTATTCTAAATGTTCATGAGATAAACTTTGGTATAAAGATTATAGAGACTTCTTATGAAGCATAATCTTTATATCAATCAATCAAACTTTAATTTTAATTTTAAGTTGGAGAAGGCAAAATTTCTTGTAGGTCGTAGTGATTTGATGTATTTGACAATGTAAAAAGATGCTGACTTTCATTTTCCTTGCGGCTTGACTATTAGTGATATCTTTAATCTACAACGATCAGATCTTTGACAAACTCAAAGACACATAGCCAAAGGTTTAAAAACCATAAATCAGAGACTGGAGGAAATCTGCCAATTTTATGGGTTGATTTCTCTATTTTTTTATGGAAGAAAAGGGCACTTTCATCATACTCCTATTATGAATTCACTAAATTTTTAAAGCCCTAATTTCTGCAAACTGGGTTTTTTGTGCAGTGTGCTTCATGGAGTTCTGGGGTCTTTAAAAAGTCTTTGCATTCCCTTGGTGAGGGTAGAAAGAAGTATGGGCTGACGCGGCTCCTGCACTTTCCTTTCCTTTAGCCTTAAATGCTTCCTTTTAATCTCTCCCTCCTTTTGGATCTATGGCTGAGATTCCAGTGGAAGGAAACCTAGCCAGCTCAGTGAACATTTGCATCAGATTTAGATAAATTCCAAATGCAAGATAATTAAATGCTTATTTCTACTAGCTCACCATCTCTGAAGTTTTCCACATACTATTTAATACTGTATTTCATCATTAAATTACAATTTACTCAATCTGAAAGAGCTGGGTACTCTTGAATTCCAACTATTTCACACTATGGATAAGGCAAAATTATACAGGAGGCAAAAAGATTGGTGGTTGCCAGGGTTTAGGAGGAGAGATGAATAGGTGGAGTACAGAGGAATGGGGGTGGGGCAATAAACCTGTTTTCTATGACAGAGGTCCCCTGTCCTCTGTATTCAGGGCTTGGAAGTACAGAAGGAGGTGAGCAACAGGCTAGTGATTGAAACTTCAGTATGTGTAGCCATCCCCCCATCATTTGCATTACCATCTGCGCTCCACCTCTTGTCAGATCAACGGCACCATTGGATTCCCATAGGAGTGTGGACCCTACCATGAAATGCCCATGAGAGAAATTTAAGTCCTGTGCTCCTTATGAGAATCTAATGTCTCATGAACTGAGCTGAAACTGAGGCAGTGATGCTAGTGCTTGGGAATGGCTGCAAATACAGATCACCATAACCAGAGAGATTTGATTGCCCAGAGGCCATAATAAATCAATTACTGGCAGACTCACCTCAAAACCCTAACACTGAGTGGAAAGTGACAAGGAAGCTTCATTGGCAGTTGGCTGTACATCATAATCTGACTCATATTTGTTTGAGCGTGACCTTATCATTATTTTATGCATTGCTTCAATCTACTTTCCCACACGGCATGTTCGTCTCAGTCGCAATTTTGATAAGTCTACAAGCTAACTCTAACCAAAATGAGTACAAAGACAAACATCACTGGATAGCTTTCTTGAAAAGGGAGAAAGCCTCAAGGAGGAAACAGCAAAAGACTCCAAGGTTTCCAACAAAAAGCAAGCCACATTTAAAAGAAAATGTTGAGAGTCCAACTTCAATTATAGGTTCACTCTAGCATGTGATTCACATTTTCCAAGCCTACTTTGTATAATATGGTCATGAAATACCCAACAAAGCCATGAAGCTGTCAAAACCACTTTCCCACTCACCCTATATATTAAAAGCGAAGCATTTAGAGTTTTTCAAAAGGAAGAAAACAACATGAACAAAAAGAATAGAAGCAATCATTGAAGGTCACCATTCATCAAACGTGACTGCACTGAGAGCATCATTCTTAGTGGTACCTGCATTGCTAACATTAAGAAGCCCTTTGCTATTGGTGAAGATTTTATCCTGCCTGCTGCCAAGGACATTTGCTGTGAACTTTTAGGACAGGCTACCTTTTAGTGAATTTTTTTTTTTTGGTCCAGGAATTAAATCAGGACTTTGTGCTTGCTGGGCAGATGTTGTGTCATTGAGTTATATACCTACACCTCAGTCTACCTTTTCAAAGGTGGCATGGTCTCCTCTTTCAGCTGGTACCATACATAGAAGAATTGATAAAATTGAGGCACAATTTTTAGAGAGGATTAGTGAGTCTGTTTGGTATGCAATTCAGTTGACAAGGTTACCGAGGTTGATAATAGGCAGTAACACTTGTTTTTGTGTGATATAATTTTAAGAAGATGTGCATGAGGATATGTTATCATCACTTTTGTTGCAAATCAATAGCACAGCTGCAGGAATATTCAAATCTTTGAATGGTTATATTTCAGGAGAACTGAATTGGTCATTTTGCACGGCTACAAACAGTGGCTGCCATGTCTAGACAGCTTTCTGTTTTGACAGGGAGATTAAGGTGGATGCTACTGAATATAAGTCCATGCACTGCATCCCTTACAGAAATTATGGGCAGCTGTGAAATGTTTCCTGAACAAAATGATACCTTGTGAGGTGTAATTAAGCTATCAACTGCATGCTAGTCCACACCATAATTCACATCTACTCATGCAGTTTTGAGAGGATGTTGATACAGAGCACTCCTTACTTCTCTTATACACACAGTGAGATGGGTTGCTAAAGCTAGGCCACTGGACAGTGTGAATTACAGAAGCCACTCCAGAGAATGTCTGTGTAGAAAGATTGTCAATGCTGGCAGCATGTTCCAGAATGGATCACTAGACTTTCTCGTGTGGCGATTGAGCCTGCCTGATGAACTCAATCTTTAGTTCAGGGTAGAAGGAAAACTGTGTCCAAGTCAGCAGATTAAAGTGGATGCATTCCAAGCCAAATTGGAATTATGGAGGTGATGAAAGAACTTTGGGAGTTTTGACATGTTTCAAACGTTAGCAGAGATTTTTGAAAGAGATTGAGTCAGGGGCTTCCTCCCTGCTTCAGTGTATGATCACCTGATCACCTGTTTACTGTCAGAGGAAGCTGAGCATTACACACACACACACACACACACACACACACACACACAACTAAGAAAGAAAGAAAGAAAAAGAAAGAGATAAAACAAGAAAAGAAAAAAACTAATGGGAAAAGAAGGGATTTATAATCCACTTCTGAATAAGGCTGGTGAACTCCAAGCTAAAATAGAAGAGAAGCAACTGCTTGAGATGGTAAATGACGGCAGCCTCACAGGAAGTGTTTGAGATGGCTTTGAATCCCTATGCATTCTAGATTCAAGCCAAGGCAGAATATCCTGAGATTTCCATACAAGCACTGCAAAACCTGCATCAATTCCCGACCTTCTATCCTTGTGAAGCAGAGTTTTCTGCAGTGACAGCAGGCAAAAGAGATTCAGCAGTAGACTGGAACAGGTGGTACAGTTCAGTTGTGACTGTGTCTTATCACCCCCAACTGGGACAGTCTAGGTGTAGGAAGACAAAGTGAGGAGGATCCTACTGACCCTATATTACGTGAGTGGCATGATTATTTCCTTATATGCTATGACATAGCAATAGTAATAGAAAAAAAGAGCACAATATATGTAATGCCTTTGAACCAGCCCCCAGTCCCTGTCCTTGGAAAAATGTCTTTCATGAAGCCAGTCCATGGTTCCAAAAAGCTTGTGTTTAGCTCATCATCGGTATTTTTACAATCACTAAAATAATTCTTGCACACTGCAGACCACAGGGACAGCACATCATATATCTTAACTAACAATAGTTTGGCCTTGAATGATGACTTTATTCATTCTCTTTGTTCTTTCTAGAGACAGCTTTGAATCAGTCCCAAGCTCTGCACAGCTTCTGCTTCTTGGTCATTGGTAATTCTCCATTTCCTTACTCTGTGTACAGCTCAGTTTTATTCCCTACCCAAGTATTCTCTACAGCTGTGTTGGCTTCCTTTCTCTTTCTTTCTGTCTTCTGTATTACATCTTCCCTGCTTATTTTAGCTCTGACCATCTCATTAGCTCCCCTGACTCTCTAGGAAGTGCAGTCTAATGACGTTGGCCTCAGGTTATATCAGCCCTTGCGCTTAGCTGTGTGGTCCTGGACAAGTTACTCAACTTCTCCAAGCCTAGGTTTTTGTACTTACAGTTCTGGACTAATTTTACTGTACGAGATTGTTGGGACAAGGACATAAAGAAATAAAGACAAAGTACTGAGAGTGGCAGCTGCATTTGGGAAACCCACAGCAAATGCCCAGAGCTGTCCGAGATGAAAACACACTTCCTGGAGGACAAGAAGCACATTAGGGATGTGCAGGCAGAAGCACACGACCATCTCCGAAGGTATGAGATTCCTGCACCTGCTATCACATAGTACAACAAACAAGGAAGCTTACATCAATACCCACATGTGGTCTAACTAATATTTTCTCTGAACTTCTATGGTCTGGACGTGAAGCTTTCTCGTGGATCATGGGGTCATCACATTGATGCCTTTTTCTGAGCATGGAACAACTAAAGGAAGCAAGCCAGATTTTGCATCTGATGTCAATTAAATATGCGCCTTCCAAAATCCAGGCGTTGAAGCTTAATGGCCAATGTGTAGTAGTAAGTGGTGTGATGTTTAAGAAGCGATTAGCCCTCAAGGGCTGCTCTCCTTATAAGTGGAGTAAGACCTTTGTAACAGAGAGCTCAGTCTTCTTGTAATTGATTCTATCTTCTGCCAGAGGAAGACACAGCATCCCCTACCCCACCTTGGAGAACATAGCACTCATGCCACCATCCTGGAAACAGAGGCTGCACTTTTACGGGATAATGGACCTGTTGGAACTATGACTTCAGAACTTCCAGCCCCAAGAATTGTGAGAAATAAATTTTCTGCATGAATTGCCCAGGCTGTGTTATTAGGTTACAGCAGCACAGACAGTCTAATGCCATATACTTTTTTTCCCCCACTAACAGCTCATAATCATCTTTAGCCTTTTTCTCTGTTTTTGCATGAAGTCCTGAGAGAATTTATACATGTGAATATTGTCTGAGTGACTCCTAGAATTGGAATGGATGCATAGTCACAGAAAAATGTTGTGGGTACTCTGAGTGGCTTTTTTAGATCCTGCAACCTGAATCTGTTGGCTAAGACCAACAGTAGAATGGACCCAGGGTAGAAAATAACACATCAACAGGAAATAAGAAGCTGCCATTTGCATGCCAGCCAAGTCCCGAGTCCTCTAGCAATGAGTTCCTAATCACACATAGTAGGCAGCTCCTGAAAAGCTACCAGGATCTTTATGAAAGACAAGGCAACCCGAGCCTTTCATCTGAAGCAGGGTGCAACCTTGGCATTGCCCCCCTGAAGCCTTGGTCTAGTCTGCAGAAGGCCGACACATTGGGGTCCATCATGGATTTCCCTCAGTACTGGTGCAGGGAGTGCCTGCAGCTCTACAGGGTTAAATTGCTCACTACAAGTACCTAAAGTCTTTGGACTGGAAATCTTTAGCTTAGTCAAGTAAGTTTACTCATAATAAAAAGGGCTCAAGAATGAGAAGTTCTTCTACAAAGGTGCTCCAAGCACAGCTTATCCAACTTCAACTGGACACCCATCACTTACTCTACAAAACAGAAAAGAGGGAGATGTAGGGGGTGACAGAAGCTGGAAACTGGTCACATGTGTTGGGCAAGGCAAGGCCAGAGTGTTACAAGCAACGAAGCTCCTTTGTCCTGAGAAACCATTTTGCCTGCGATGATCCCAGTCATTAGTTCCTAGGCAACCCTGGGTCAGATGATGCTTTGTCAAATGTAAAAATAAATGCATCCCTATAGTGGTTGTTCGGTTCCTTTCCTCCAATCAGGAGAGAAGGGACTCCATATGACCTCAACTTTTTTCTCTTGTCTTTGTCTTTAAATTCTCTCCCTGTTTTCCCCGGGAACACTGGGAACATTGATAGCTGCACAGCATGCAGTATGCTGGCTTTAACTGATGGGTATATTGCTGCTTAGTGGACACAAAGCTAATACGCACACTTAGAAACGTGCAGGCTGCTCTTAAGAAATCCCGGCTGTTTCATGTTACTGTCTTTTTTTCCTCAACACATTTCTTAATTTATTTTCCTTCGGCTTTTGTTTTCCTTTCACTATTTATCATTTGCATCGACATGCATATTTTAAATGTAACAAGGATTAAATGGGATCATTGTAAGCTTTCTATACCAGAAATGTATACTACGGATAGTGTATAATGCGGACAATTTATATGTGGTTAATTAGAATTCGACAGAATCATTCTTAAAAACTTTCATGAGGGTGTTAGATCTGCTTACACATTCTTTCTCATATACAAAATACACACTGTGAAATCCCACCCCCTGTTTTGGAGTTGCCCTGTGTTCTTACCATTGAAATGTCCCCCTGCTCTGATGTTTGGTCCCTGCAGAGGGAACACTTTATCAATGGTTGCCCAATAGATCTGCCTCTGTCCTTCTCTATTTGATCCATAGTTCACTCATGATTAGGTTTATACACTCCTGAAATGCAGAAGTCTGAGAAAATACTACACCTAGCTGCATAAAATGTGGACCTTCACTAAACTCTGTGGGTAGGTGATAAGTAGCGATTCTCATGTTAAAGATGAGGAAAGAAAGCTGAAAAAGCTCAGCAGCTTTTCAAATACAGATCAGAACTGTGGGGGCATTTGCCTTTTATTGTTATGGTCCAGATAGATGTCTTCTGCATTGCAGGATGTCGGCGAATACATGGGTAAAGGAATGAAGGAAATTAATAACTGTAGAACATTCTTATAATTGACTACTGCAGCAAGGCCTTTAGGAAATATGATAGTTTTCATGCAATGCAGTGAACTAGAAAAAAATAACTCTCAAATAATAATAATACTGAAAAATGGTAGTGTTTGATAGTGCTCCTAATTGTCCTCCAGGAGAATCTTAGCTATGTGAGACCTCTGTTAGCAGGCTGTTTAGATCACTCTGTGTCACAGAGACTTTTACACACTTTCCTGAGGCTAGATTAGGCATGCTGCAGGAGGCAGTCTGATGATGGCATCTGCCACAAAACGAGGCAGTGACAGCTGGAAATCTGACAGTGTCCATAAGATCTCTTTTAGTTCACTAGTTGTTATGAAAATAAAAAGATTGACAGGGATATAGCTCAGAGGCACGGTGACTGCCTGGCAAGTGTGAGGTCATGAGTTCAATTCCTGATATCACTCTCCCCCCCAAAAAGGAAATGGATAAACCCTTCAGGATTCAATCATTTCCCTATTTTTCTATCAGACAAAGATAATAGGTATATAGATTGCAATGTTGATAGAGTCAAGAAGATATATGTTCTGTCTGACTTTTCCAAGGCCACCATAAGGTCCAGCTCAGAGCTGGACTTTCAGTGGGGATTAATAGTGGCTATATGATTGATATGTAAATGAATGGTTCTAAGTTTACAAAATCTCTGCCAAATAGGTGCAGACCACCCACGTGAGGGAGGTGTGGTCGCAGGGGAGAATGAGCAGCCACACATCCTAGGCAGAGCCAGTCAGCATGGCCGAGGCCCTACACATAGCTTACAAGGTTGGGAGCTCCGGGATCTGCAGGCAGTGGACAGAGGGACACGCCCTGGACCATGCACTGGTGCTATGGCAAGGGGACAACAGGAAGAGGTGGGGTGGTGCTGAATTTGGGGTGTTACAGGTCTAAACTCCCCAGGGAATACAGAGTAAGCCAGCCAGCCAGCCAGCCAGCCAGACAGACAGACAGACAGACAGACAGACAGACAGAGAGACAGATGGGCTGGGTCCACTTGGCCCACTGTTACAACACGCTTCAAAGCTGCCTTGTCTCTGGGTGTCTAACTCAGTGACATGCCTGTCTTTTCATTTGACCCCTCTGCATGGGGGACAGTGCATTTGATTTTTGGAAAATGTAATAAAACCGCACTTTCTCGGCATGCTCTCTTGGCTTTCTGTTTTTCTCAAGAGGACTAAATAATCTATTCTAGTCAAGTCCATTTAACACCCTGTTAACAGGCTGTATCTATTTTGGGAAGGCACAGCCTCCTCTGAGCATCTGACAGGATTATACCTGATTAATCTCTCTCTCTTTCCTGTCATCAATATTATTTGGGGGCAGTGGTCAAACCATATTGACACTTTGCTGACACCCTTTCCGGTGCCCAATTACCTCGCTGTCAGGGTACAATCCATAAGGTGTCACGAGGGTTCTATGCTGTGCCACGCTGGCTGGCACCAGAACATCCAGGAGACAGTGTATAATATATCATCTTTATGCCTCTGGAAATGAGGAGAGGCCTTTCTTTATCCTTATTGCCAATAGATCTTTCAACTCACAGAGCTGCAGGGAACACAGAGGTGTTAGGGGCAGCCCTGAGACTCGAGAGATGCAGCTCTAGCCTGGATGAGTCTGCCTGTATTTCCTGGTGAATATCCTGAGGTGAATTCCTATGACAGAAGACCAGGGACCATGCCTGAGGCTTGTAATCCCAACCCATTTATTAAATACACATATCTTTCTGAAGAGTTGCTCTTGAGGTTTTCTAGGAATATTCTATTTTCCTGTTCTCTTCTCTTTCCCTTTCTCTTTCTAACCCCCTTTCACTCTCCTTCCCTTTCTGTACTGGGGATTAAGCCCACAGCCTTCATCCACCTGTCTGTCTGCCTGTCTATTTATCTATAATCTTTGCTGAGATAAAGTCTTGCTACATAGTCCAGGCTGGTCTTGATTTCACCATGGCACACGGGCTGGCCTCATACTCAAGGCAATCTTCCTGTCTCAGCCCCCAGAGTGCTGAAATTACAGCACCATGCTTATATTTTTCTTTCTTTCTTTCTTGTATTGAGACAGGTCTTTACTAAACTAAATTACTTGGGTCAGGCTTGCGTTTGTAATCCTCTTGTCTCAGCCTACTAGAGTGAAGGGATCACAGGCATGCATCACCATTCATGGCAAGGAGTATTCTTTTGAGATGAAGCTCCAGGGTGAACGTAACCAGCCCAGTACACACCAGTAGCATAGGTATAAGCTCTAAAACACATGGGCCGAGGCTGTGATCGTGATGTCTATCTAGATACCAGCTGCCCAGCTTCCTGTGCTCACAGGTGGGGCTTGGGAGTGATGGATTGTGGGGTTGTGATACTCACCAGCGTACCAGTCCACTGATGAGTTACAGCTAAATGTGATCTCGGAAGTGAAGGAGTGGGTCGCTGGGGGTGCTGCTCGGAAGGGCATCTCTGCACCTCAGCTCCTCCCTTCACTCTCTCTGGCTTCCCATTCACCATGCCCCAAGCAGCTTTCTCCACTGGGCCCCTTCACCATGCTTCCCTGCCTTAGCACCAGCTGACTATGGACTGAACCCTCATGCATGATAAGCCAAACAAATGTCTTCTCCTCTAAGCTGCATGCATCTGGTGCTGTGTCCTCAGGAAGAAGGAAATCACTAAGGCAGCCATCACCCTGAGAACCACTCATGCCTTACATTGCTGCCAGAACTCACATTGTTACATTTAAAAATCAGTTTCTTCTCCATCCCTGCCCCCAACGAAGCATGACTTAATGAAGGTGACCTTCCTTAGAGCAAAGTACACTTCCATTTAGGAATCTAAGTGGGAAGGATATGGATGGCTGTTCATTTCAATATTTTAGTTTATACACATACCTGCACATTTTAT